TCACAACATTTCTGAAGGAATATACGTAAAATGGGGGAATACTTTGGAGTGCACTTAAGGGCCATGTGTCCAGGCCACGAAGGGTGAAGGGCGTTTAACGGTTGGATGGCATGGTTTTTGGCTTCTCCTCCTCAGCGAATACCAGCTGATTCTAACATGTGTTTCCCGCCCAAACCTTTCTATCACCGATTTTTAGGGCTTGGGGTCAGCTCTAATAGCAATCGGTCAACACGAATATTCGAAATCCCAAGATTGAGACGTCAGTCGATTTTTATTTTCATGGAGGTTTATGGTTAAATTGTGAAAGGTGGAGGTTTTTTAATACGATTTTTTTGGAAAATCCATAATCTAGAACAGTCATTTTGTATTATAATTTTGAAAAATTAATTGTCTTCGAGGGAAATCAACAGAAGAGGAAGTCTTACTGTTCAATTTTTAAGAATTTTTAAAAAGCTAGTCATGAATGGATGATGGGAGGAAAGGGAAATTATATGAATAAATAAAAGATTTATTATCAACAAAAGGAATTTTGTGGAATAAATCTGGAGATAATTGAGATATAATCCAATAAACTAGAAGTGAGGTAAAATTATTTTACGTGAATTATATTTTCAATATATTGGGATATAATTGATATATATTCATGGATATATTTTTTTTTATGTGAAAAACGTTTACTTGTCTTAGGAAAATATTTTTCAGGCATTAGACATTTTTTTTCTGAATGGAGTTGACCCAGAAAATACAGACGCACGCTGAGAGGTCCAGGTGTCGTTTAATTGGCGTTAGTATTTTAATCGATGGTTCCGAGGTAATTATCTCACCGACACACCTGCCCGATATGTATATTAATAAATAAATTAGCAGTGGTATCTCAGTGCAAAAATATGTTCCGCTGTTTTTACACATACTAAGTCAGAAAATAGGATATTATTCGATTGAGAAAGAGGTAATTTTTAATTCAAGAACATTTTCATTTTCATTATCAGGTTATAGAAAATTTTTTGGGGTTTTTGATATTAGTGAGGTAAATTTAAATTAGAATAATAATTGCCTTAAATTTTTGAAATATTAAGAAATTTTGTGATTAATTTCATTTCCAATTCCAAAATTTCAACGCCGCGAATTTTTCTCGAGATTAAAATATAAAAAAAAATATCTCTAATAGTGTCTAACAAAAATAAAACATATCTTCGAATTTCCCGAGAGAAACATTTAATGATTACAAAAATGTCAAAGATTATTGAATAATCTGTAAATTTCCCTGGAAATCTCTCATTAAAATTCCGAGTATTCATTAATTGTCTTTTCACATCATTAGAAAACGGCGGGAATATCGAGTGATTGTTGAGCCTCAAATTTCCGGGATTGAGTCAAAACAGAAAATTAAAAAAGTTCACCCTATGGGAACGCAGCCCCTGGGAAAATCATTACAGTTATTGTTTCAATGTTGAATTCCAAAACTGAAACTGCCCTCGCAACCCCTCTGAATTTAAAGTAGCCAATTTCGTATGCAGCGGGGGCAAAGGATAATTTGAAAATATATCCAACGGCTGCGAAGTAATTCAGCTAATATAAGGTAAAAGAGGAATATGAAATTTTTGTGGGGAGGGGAAACGAACCCAAAAAATTGTACATTTTTTTTCTCCCACTGGCATCATGAACATTTTACGACAAATTGACAATTTCACGCCCCAACATCTTGTCGTATCAAAATATGACAAAAAGACAAAGAATAATAAATGATTTTTTGAATGTTGATTATTGAATGAATATAAAAAAAAAAAAAAAAAAAAAACCAATGCCTCAACTAAAGTAAGTTGAAAGCGAAACGAAGCCATCCCCTCCGCCTCCGAAACCAAACTCCTCTCGTCGGGAAGAGAATATCATCTCAATAAAAAAAACACATCATCATCCAACCAAACCACACTCACCCCAACACCAGACCGGCCACCGAAACCAAACACAAAACAATCAAAAATGTCTACAATATTTTTGGGTCAATAACGATTCTCGTGATATTGTGTGGATTTTTCAGTGTGTCGGGTCCGTTTTGCCTCTGTTTTATTCCGTCATTAGTGGAAGCGAGACGAGTGATCTAGTGCACAGACGAGGGGAGAGATAAATGAAAAAGGGGCTGCACCGGGGGAACGTTGCACCTTACGCGCCGTCAGGGTAACAGGTGCCCCAGCTGTGCGTTTTGTGGCACACGATCGTGAGGGCAAGTGCCTTCAAACGAGGTGCATTTGTATCCGTTTGTCTGTGTAGACACGGATATTAGAGCCGGCGGTGGTCGACCCAGTGTTAAGATGCGCAAGGGTGAGATTGCACTGTTTACTTTTCAATTCGCGGAAAAATCGGCGGCATTTTCTGTTTATCCTAGGAATTGCGAAGCAATACATTTTGGAAAATTAATTCGAGAACAGCATCTTCAATAATAGACACGTAAATATTTTTTTAAAAATATGAAAGAAGATATAATAATGGAATAATATAATAACGAACATTAATGCACGAAAAATGGAATTCTCTATTTGCATTTTTTTTTAATGTAATGATAATGATTTATATTATTATAAAAGATGTTGTTCTAATCATTCACCACATTCGAAACGAAGGGCTTATATATTCCATAAAATTAATTAGAAAAAAATGAAAAAAATTAATGATTGAATGATAATGAGTCCGCGAAAAAATGTGTAAACGAAAAATAAAATTTCTGCTGGATTAATGTCACAGAGAATTGTGCACATCGTATGACTAATTGACGATTTACCACGGATATGATATTAGGAGTTAACCACATGGGCGTAGGGTAAAACATAAGCGATTGGTACGGGTTTTAAATCGAGGGGTTGTGATCGGCATGACGTGTGTTACATGTGGTGCACTACAACCCATTGTGACTCAACAGGGGAAAAACATTTCACACGACTTGGATACGCACACTTGGTTACGAACATTGGTTACGCATATATGGGGCGTTGATTTATGCCGCTTAGTTACCAATTTTTTGAACTACAATTATTATTTCGATGGGGGTTCCCCTGTGCAGACACCGAGGTTCCGTTTCAGTGGTACTTTCAATTCACTTCATTCATCGTCATTTCAAAACTCTGGGAATTTTCCATTTCCCCTCCCCCGATAAATAAAATTTATAACAATCTAGCGTGTGGGATTTTTGGGGGTATAATCAGAGTGCATAATTAATTCTTTGAGTCCAGTGCATGAAATTTAATTTACCACATTTGAAATAGTGTCTGGGTAATTCAACCGACGAGTTATTAACAGCATTTTAAAATATTTGGAAAAAGTGGGGAGAGTTAATCATGATTCCATCAATATTCGAATCAATCCTTCCGAAATCGTCAAGATATCGTGTGACATGCCACAATTCACGGCTGAAGGACTCGTAAATCCCCAGGGCGGTATTAACTCCGACAATGCAACAGGTCGTCCGAATGGTATTCTCAATTTCCTCGGTTCAAAGACTGCAAACATTACCCACTCGAGTACAACAAACACTGCTGGTGGCACCTGTCGTGTACCACTGGGTGGCATAAACAAGCGGAATAATCTAAAAGCGAGTGGGCATTGCTCTTCTATTACATCAATCATTGTGTCCGTTTATGCTAATAAATTAACAATATGTTTCTGATACACAGAGAAAAGAAAAGGGTTGAGTATTTACGCGATTGATCGTCATTTAATCTTTCTTCTTCTTGACTCATGTCCGAAGTGACTCGAGTCAAAAGCATCTCATCTTGCCGAAAGCATGTGGACTTGAATGTAGCCTTCGTATTGTTTTTCGCATCTAGTGAATATTTGGCGCAATGATTGTGCAATTTTGCGCAAAGATCGATTCAGGAATCGCGTCGGCTGATTAAAAAAAGTTCGTTGCCTAATTTCTTTTTTTAAATCCTTGATACTTCACATCAAACCTGTCAAAATGAGATGACAATATCGCTTCAAACCCGCGCAATCGATTGCCTCAAATCCAATAGATATCGACTTCGATCGAGACTTATATCAGTGGAGCGAATAATTATTCGCACGAAACCAATGTTTACTGTGATAAAAACAATAAGCATTTCGATTGTAAAAAACAGTATTTCGCATTTTCTATTTTTTCCTAAACTTTATTCAACTACAATAATGACATCAGGTAGATAATCAGTCAAATCCTGATTCTCCCTCTGAATTTGCAATTGATTTTAAAAATAAATTTATAATAAAAAAATCGAATTTCTGAGTCCTGTAGCTGCCGTATCTCAAAAACCGAAAAACTCGGATTTCAAGGATTCCAATGATTCCAATGATTCCACCGATTCCACCGATTCCACCGATTCCACCGATTCCACAAAGAAAAAAAAAGTGTAAAAAACCAAAAAATCCGTCAATTCCGGAGATAGAAGTCGGAGGGGCCAAGCCCCCCTCCAGCAGCGACGGTACGCGGAATAATCCTGACGCGTCAGTTCTGGATGCGTCGCGTCGTGGTGTCCAGGGTGGGGAAAAAAAATATGAAAGACAGCGTAGCCAAAGTGAAGGAGCCACTGTGGAGTGAGGGAAAAGGAGATCGCGGGCCTCACCTGGCGGGGAGGTGGGCGGCTGCGCAACATAGAAAATAGCAAGAGAAGGAGGTGTCGGGGAGGTAAAGAGGTCCGTTGAGGTGGGGGTAAAAATGGTTAGACGAAGCGGAGGTGAAGCGCGACCGGCCCTCCGTGAACGCGGGGCCCGAGCTAGTCCAGTCCGGGACAGCACGCCTCCTGCTGCACGCTCCACGAGGTACACGCAGCCTAGATCATTGAATCGAGCTGTACACCGGACTTGAGCTTGCTCTTACATTTATTTATTCGTCGTATTCATCGGGTGTTTATTATCGATTTATTTGTCGCGTTGGAAAATTTTTGTGCATTGTGATTTGTTGTTTATCTTTGGCTCAGACCTGTGCTCACACGCTTCGCGAACTGTGACTAGGATTGACCGCGGCCAACGAGTCAGCTGGTGCGCATCCGAGGGTACGAATACATCACAACACGTCCGACGGAGCGCGAAAAACGTCCACTTCACGCCCACGCGAGTGCAAACATTTTCGTGCAATTGTAGGTTTTTTTTTCTTGTGAAATTTTTATTGGAGTTTTTTTTTTTTATTGTTTGCCTGTTGATTCTCGCTGATGATGTTGGGTCTTCGGGAACTCTGAGTGATGTGCAGCGATCAGTGGTTGACAATTTGAGGATCGAATTATTGATTAAGGTTGACGGATCGTGTGATATGGTATACGTGTGCTAAGTGATGAACCTCGGTTTTTTTGCACGGGGTGGTTGTAGTGCAGATTATTCAGAGACTTCAACGCGTGGCGCGGAACGATCGACTTGGGAATACAGCGGTGTGCGGAGACGGTTTTTGTGGGTAAGTGTGGAATTAATTATTTTTATTTTTTATCGGGGATTAATTGTGATGCAAGCATGGGGTGGGTGAAGATGAAGTTATTGATTTCAATCGAGTTCGAGTGAATGGTGTGGAAAATCGATTTATTCTGTCTCGAATCGACGGCTGGGATCAAGTCCGATTTGGATATATGTCAATATCTAATCGATCAAGTAAATTTTTCCACTGGATTTAACGAAATTAATTGAACTCCAACATAATTGAACTTGAATCGTAGGATTGACTCAAGGCGTCTAGATCCAACCGTTCGCCAATTCGAATAATTTCTTCTTCTTTTCAATTCTTAATGTCCACGGAATATTTATTCGATGCGGAAACTCTTATCAACTCACTACATTAATAGATTTGTACGCAACGTGTGTGGGGCCCATTTGTCCTTCCAAGACATTTCTATTAGATAACGACCCCCGTCCCCCCTAATCGTAAAGGCTACAATGTCCGTTCCCTCATGAGAATTCGGGGGCATTACAGCGACTCCCCTCGGGACGAGGTAGCACCTGTAGACATTTCCCCACATATCTTAGGAAATAAAGTACTAAAATACGTTTCTAATCGTCCGACAGACCCTTAATAGTAGCATCTGTCCGGACTACCCTTGCACGGAGCGGGACTTTAAACGCATATCTCTCCCTTCAAGACATACCAACGGCTTGTATCCAATACCCGTCTTGTGAGCAGTTGGGGACGTCAGGTGGTGCTCGTTATTAGGGGCTGCAAGGAGTCGCGGGATCACACGTACGACAATCAACCCCTGGTCGACGACCTACCCATACACAACGTGTACCGTAGAGTGTAATTTTTTTTTTCTCAGGCGACAAACGATGTCTCGTTTTGGTAGAACGAGTTTCGAGCGGATGTAACGAATTGGCGGCGGGTCGGGGGGATTTTTTTATTTGTTGTTTCTTAAATTTTCTTCTCGATTTTTGAGGCCCCATGAGTTGGCAGGAATCGTGGAACGGACGTTCTGGGAGAAGGGACTCGTATGTTTTTGTGATGAGGAAATTTCCAATTTTTCATGTTTTTGATGGACTTGGGAATATTTCTAGATTTTATTTTATTTATGGTGATAATTTATAAAATAATTGTTCAGACCAAAATATTTTTCATATTGTAATGAATAATTAATTAAAATGATTTTTCCAACGCAATGGCAAATCTGAAAAATTTCCAAAACGTCTGAGGTCCATCAGAAAATTTCACGAAAATTCCAAATAAATGAACGTTTTCTCCACCACAAACAAATACACATCCTCATCCGAAGATTATTGTAAATCGGTGAGCGCCGATCGGTCACGACTGCTCCCTCGTTGGTACCTAACCAGTATGAATATTCGAAATTGCTAATAAATAATAAACGTCACGGCATGGCCGCGTGCCATAACTCTCGAGTCCGAACGAGTCATGTACAAAACGTTAAGGATTTGCAATGCGGGGTACGAGATTGAAAGAGGACAGGGGACATTATCTCAGCTGGATATCGGTGCGAGTAATTCTGTGATGTCATTGCGAGAATGTGTCGCTCATAGGATTATTCCCTCCACCATGACTCCAGTAGCAGGACAGCACCAACCGCTCAAACTAATGAAACGAATAGAGATGCGGACTATGAGAATCTCACAGACAAAATATATATGCTAACAATTATATCTAACATATTGCCTTTGGGCTGAAAATATATTCATGCATTCGTCAGATATATTACAATTATATTTTTATAAAACCATATGTTTTTTATTCGAAATCTCGAACGTTTTGAGTCACTACTCAAACACAGTATGGAGATCCATATTTTTAAATTTGATATCCAATTAAAAAATCTAACAGTGACAGCAGATAGGAAATTGATATCTCTTGTTATCAATGTATTCCATGTAATTTAGTTGTCAAATGATAAAGCGTGATAAATTGACTTGATTCCTAGTCGAGTTATTAATGAATACTTCATTATTAATTTTTAAAAAAGTCTAGGGGATAAATTGACGATTTCTAACAGATTTGGATGCATTAATAGAAGACCCACCAGAGGAATGAATTATATTAATATTTTTATTTACTCCATTGTTGCAGCACTCAATCATCAGAATTGTCATAAAAATATATTGTATAAAATATCCCAGTTGCAAAATGATGGGGTATATTTCGGGCTTGAGCTGTTGCTGAAACGGAATGGAATATTCTCAGATAAATCGAACAGCAGAAATGAACAAATAAATGAAATTTGTGATAGTTTCATGGGTAACTTTCCGCCGTAACAATCCGTCCGCCTCTCCCTGAAGGATTCGAATAAGAAACGTCCCATCGAAGAAACAAACCGGTTCGATGAAAAAGCTCCGGTCGCACCTCGAGGGCTTCCTCCTTCGTGTATCAACTGGTGTTCTCCGTTCTATTCCGTACAGCTGTGGTAGTCACTACCGTATGGACTTTGCTAAAGTACAGCAATTTAGAAGAAGTAATGAATAAATGAGGAAAATCGAGGGAGATGGTAGACTGTTAATCGTGCTGTTGGGCTGCGATAATTACCTTACTTTATGCTATTATAATTGTGCAAATAAATCAGCCCGAGTATTTGCTTACCAAGTAATAATCGCGTGATGCGATATGGACACGTAATCCTAGTTCGTTATTTACGGTGAATTTTTGCGGGAATAACTTAACATTTTTTTTAAATTTCATACTCCCGGCGCTCGTACAGACAATTGGGATTTTTATGTCTTCTCCTTCCAGCGGGACCATGCGACCAACTTTTTTCCCAACTCATTTGCTCCATCGGCAGACCTTTCCGGTAGCCATATTGGAGAACCATGGGAAATCCTAACTTATGCAGACCATTTTAGCTGGAAATATATCACTGTATATCTGAGATCCATGGGATATATATCCTGTCGCGATATACTCGTATATTTGCTCCTACCATATTACATTTTTATCTGAAATATCATTAAATATTATAATTATATCCTAAATCACGAATCTTTGTGACTCAATAACCATTTGACCATTTTAGATTAGACGACTCGGCTATTGTCACGAATAGAAGTGATTTAATATGGATATCGTTCATTTCAGAGATGGCAATGGCTCGATTGATTCAAATGATTCAAATGATCCGAATGATTAAAATGACTGGATGCTGCAGTATGAGAATACCGATAAGAGGCAATCTCGATAGACCCAATACATTGGGCGAATCTTGTTTCGTTTATTAGCTGTGCAGCGAGTTGGCAAGTAGATGGTTAATTGCAGTACGGCATCGCGCTCTCCTCCGGTTATACAGTTACCTTGCGAATAGATATACGAGTTGGTGGAATGAGGGAGTGAGACACATGTGCGAGGTATAAGTGGCCAGCAATCGCGCGCTTCTATCCTCGCCTGCCCTATACTAACCTATACCGGACTATCTGCGTGTACAAGTAGCGCGAATCTATTTATAGTTGGCACTCGGTATGCCTAGGGTATCGCGTGTGTATGGGATTTTGCTAGTGTATTGGATGGTGGGTCGATGTATGGAGATGGAAGTTGTGGGTAAGGAAAAGAGAGACTCGTGCTATTCGGAGCTGTGGACGCCGTGCCACACCTGGCCCCGATTGCATCCTACCTATCTATTCGACTTATTAGAAACTTTGCTGCTCGATACTGCTGCACTGTGACTCCACCCAACTTTGCGCAGACTTTGTTGCATGCGGTTCGAATGGGTCATCAGGATGAGTTGTCCTCAGACAGGGTGAGACGTCTAATCTGAAATTTTTCATTTTTTTAAACTACCCTCTTCACAACCGAAAATTTACATTCAATTTATCTCGAGTTTTTTAATCCCAGAATTAGGCAATTTTTGGAATATTCAACATTAGTCGAACGATTCAAGTTGTCCTTGAAATTTTCATAATTTTCCACGGTTGTCCTTGGGATTCTCAGGATTGAGTCGTGAAGATTAAGACGAAAGGGTTAATTTCGATAAAAAGGTGATTAATTAAAATTTTCCAACAGTGCGATGTTGATGGGGAGAAGCTATAAGATGTGATGAAAAAATTCATGGTTTCTCAAGCTTATCAATCGGCAATCAGCAATGTACTACATCGATCTCACGCACCTGTTACTCGGCGACGATCGTTGGCGATATCAATGGACGGGAGCATGCACACATGTGGTCACATTCATTTTATTCATGCCGGGTAAAACCGAGGTGGGACAACCAACGTAGAAATAGTATATTTGTGTATATTGTATATGTACATATCAATAAACTCAGGGTACATGCACACGATCAAACCCGTTCCACTGTAGCTGTTGTGGTATTCACCGCACGTTGTACGGATGTAGTCATCTGTATCAATCAGGGTAGGTTCTCGAGTCAGTGAGCATATACCAACACCTTTTCTTCTTTCAACCCGATGTGTATTCCGTGGGCACTTAACTCCAATCAGCCATTTCTCGTGACTGCCTCGTCACTCCGATGTTGGCTGTGTAATTATTGACACATCGATGGTCATTGAATTACTCCAATAAAAGGAATACACCAGCTGTCTGGAATGTGACGATAAATCTGTGCAATTGCATCGCGAGAAGAACGTCTGAAGCTCAAGAGAATGGATTCTTCTGTTGATAATTTGGTCCAGTTTACGATTTTCAAAGCCGCAAGTTGATTTTTCAAATTTTTTCGGGCGATTACGGGACAGAATTTTATTTTCTCATACATGTGTATTTCACTGGAGAAATAACCTTCATGATATCATGTAATTTTTCTATAACTGTCTGTACTCTCCCCTGCACTTTCGATGACGCTGTTTCTCGTGGGAAAGACGGACAATTCTGGTATGTGAGCTGGTCAAGTACATGCGCGATGAGTGCGTATGCCTTCAAAAGAGAATCAGGTGTGCTTTCCTCAGCGAAGTCACCATCACAGTGATATGCATACACAGCCCAGCACTTAGCAGCTTTGTCACTTGTTGCCATTCTGTTTTTTT